CGTCAACTAACCACTGTTAGTTAGTTACACACGCACTACACGTCAACTAACCACTATTAGTTAGTTACACACGCATTACACGTCAACTAACCACTGTTAGTTAGTTACACACGCACTACACGTCAACTAACCACTATTAGTTAGTTACACACGCATTACACGTCAACTAACCACTGTTAGTTAGTTACACACGCATTACACGTCAACTAACCACTATTAGTTAGTTACACACGTATTACACGTCAACTAACCACTATTAGTTAGTTACACACGCATTACACGTCAACTAACCACTATTAGTTAGTTACACACGCATTACACGTCAACTAACCACTGTTAGTTAGTTACACACGCATTACACGTCAACTAACCACTATTAGTTAGTTACACACGCATTACACGTCAACTAACCACTGTTAGTTAGTTACACACGCATTACACGTCAACTAACCACTATTAGTTAGTTACACACGCATTACACGTCAACTAACCACTATTAGTTAGTTACACACGCATTACACGTCAACTAACCACTATTAGTTAGTTACACACGCATTACACGTCAACTAACCACTATTAGTTAGTTACACACGCATTACACGTCAACTAACCACTGTTAGTTAGTTACACACGCATTACACGTCAACTAACCACTATTAGTTAGTTACACACGCATTACACGTCAACTAACCACTGTTAGTTAGTTACACACGCATTACACGTCAACTAACCACTATTAGTTAGTTACACACGCATTACACGTCAACTAACCACTGTTAGTTAGTTACACACGTATTACACGTCAACTAACCACTATTAGTTAGTTACACACGTATTACACGTCAACTAACCACTATTAGTTAGTTACACACGCATTACACGTCAACTAACCACTGTTAGTTAGTTACACACGCATTACACGTCAACTAACCACTGTTAGTTAGTTGCACACGTATTACACGTCAACTAACCACTATTAGTTAGTTACACACGTATTACACGTCAACTAACCACTATTAGTTAGTTACACACGCATTACACGTCAACTAACCACTGTTAGTTAGTTACACACGCATTACACGTCAACTAACCACTGTTAGTTAGTTACACACGCATTACACGTCAACTAACCACTGTTAGTTAGTTACACACGCATTACACGTCAACTAACCACTATTAGTTAGTTACACACGCATTACACGTCAACTAACCACTGTTAGTTAGTTACACACGCATTACACGTCAACTAACCACTATTAGTTAGTTACACACGCATTACACGTCAACTAACCACTATTAGTTAGTTACACACGCATTACACGTCAACTAACCACTGTTAGTTAGTTACACACGCATTACACGTCAACTAACCACTATTAGTTAGTTACACACGCATTACACGTCAACTAACCACTGTTAGTTAGTTACACACGCATTACACGTCAACTAACCACTATTAGTTAGTTACACACGCATTACACGTCAACTAACCACTGTTAGTTAGTTACACACGCATTACACGTCAACTAACCACTATTAGTTAGTTACACACGCATTACACGTCAACTAACCACTATTAGTTAGTTACACACGCATTACACGTCAACTAACCACTGTTAGTTAGTTACACACGCATTACACGTCAACTAACCACTATTAGTTAGTTACACACGCATTACACGTCACTATTAGTTAGTTACACACGTATTACACGTCAACTAACCACTGTTAGTTAGTTGCACACGTATTACACGTCAACTAACCACTATTAGTTAGTTACACACGCATTACACGTCAACTAACCACTGTTAGTTAGTTACACACGCATTACACGTCAACTAACCACTATTAGTTAGTTACACACGCATTACACGTCAACTAACCACTATTAGTTAGTTACACACGCATTACACGTCAACTAACCACTGTTAGTTAGTAACACACGCATTACACGTCAACTAACCACTCTTAGTTAGTTACACGCGCATTACACGTCAACTAACCACTATTAGTTAGTTACACACGCATTACACGTCAACTAACCACTGTTAGTTAGTTGCACACGTATTACACGTCAACTAACCACTATTAGTTAGTTACACACGTATTACACGTCAACTAACCACTATTAGTTAGTTACACACGCATTACACGTCAACTAACCACTGTTAGTTAGTTACACACGCATTACACGTCAACTAACCACTATTAGTTAGTTACACACGCATTACACGTCAACTAACCACTATTAGTTAGTTACACACGCATTACACGTCAACTAACCACTGTTAGTTAGTTACACACGCATTACACGTCAACTAACCACTCTTAGTTAGTTACACGCGCATTACACGTCAACTAACCACTATTAGTTAGTTACAGTTTACACACTACCCCAGGTATGCTGAACAGCTGTGATAGTGATGGTAAGAACTGTGAGAAGTTGGACGAAGTTAAGGCTCCGGGCTCTGGTGCTGAAACGCGCTCTCTTCTCTTCTCTTCTCTCGTCTTCTTAACACAGCTCATATACCACTCATGTTGAGAACTTTATTTTCAAGTTCTAGAAAGACTTTTAGGGTTTAAATATTACTTTTCGGATTATTACCTTTTGGGTACACGGGGTTTTCATGAGAAATTTAAATTAAACTTGTTTATCTACGAAAAAAATGTTTGACGGACAAAAAACTGAAATGGTTAAAACAGTAATATATACCCCGATTGGTTAATATATAATGATGACATTTGTTTTCTGAAATTCTCTAAACTGTAAACCTGTAAAGGACGCATCAACCCCATTATGTCCATTTGACCAAAAGTTGAGGAATAAATGGGTAATGGGATTGCTCTCACTAATTATTTAATTATTTAAGTTAGCCATACTACTACTGCTATTTAAGTTACATAACTAAATGTGAAAAAATAAGATGAGAAAGTAGGATATATATATATATACATAATATACTTATAACAGAATGTATTAGAAGCTATTTATCCGAAAGAAATGATAGTAAAAAATACTAATATTTCGGCTCGTAAAAGTTGTTATCTAGACTTAAACATAAGTATTTATCAAGGGAAGTTTAGAGTGACATTATATGATAAAAGAAAAGATTATAATTTTAAAGTTATATCTTATCCCTTTTTAGATGGAAACGTTCCAAATAATTTGTCTTACGGAATATTTATTTCAGAATTAATTCGACACTTAAGGGTTTCAAAAATTGTGTTACCGAACTTTTAGGTAAATTGGTTGCGCAAGGATTTAAGTTAGCTGCATTGCGCAACAAGTTTTTCAAGTTTTATAAATCAAGATCAAATATTTGGGGTAAATATGGTAGTGATATTTATGATGAATTTATTGAAATGTTTCAATCACCTAATATTATTTTGTAATTTGTATCGACATATATCGTTTTTCAGTTATAAAGTTACCTAATATCAATTAATCATTTTAGTATTTGTGATTAATTTGTATTGATTTATTATTTGTGACTTATAAATTAGTAACCATTATATTACCGTCTGAAAAAATTATTGTCAAAAGTAAAATTTATGAAGGAGTAAGTTGTCAGTAGATGCGAATTTGTATATTCATGTATTGCTTGTTTAATCTGTTTTTTGTGTTAAATTTACGATTATTTGTACCTGAGATTCTGCGATTAAATTTATTGTTTTGATTGTAATGTTGTGATATTGCATAATTTATTGTAAATATAATATATGTTTCAGAATATGTAATGTAACGTGATGGAAATATTATTTTAAGCGGGCATATCCTGTCCAAACCCAGGATGCACGACATGAAGAATTCGTTGTAACTTTGTATGAAAAGCATTAATAGGCAAAAGCTTCCTCCGATTACTAGACAAACACTTCCCCAGAGGACACCAATTCCACAAGCTGTTCAACAGAAACACAATTAAGCTATCCTACAGCTGCCTACCCAACGTAGGATCCATCTTAGCGAGCACCAGACACCAAGCTCAGAAAGAACCTACTATAAAGGCGAAAATGTGCAATTGCAGAAAGCCGGAAATGTGCCCACTGAAAGGACAATGCCTGGAAGCAGCAGTGATATATGAAGCAACTATTGCAGTGGAAAAGGAAAAGAAAGAGCACAAATATATTGGGCTAACTGAAAACACTTTTAAAACCCGTTTCACTTTCTAACAAGCTCTTTCAAACTCGAGAAGCTGCGAAACCAGACGGAGCTATCTAAGAAAATATGGGAGTTGAAATATAAACAAACCCCATATAAAATATCTTGGAAAATAATCCAACATGCTCATCCGTACAAGGGGGTACGAAAGATTGTCATCTCTGCCTTACTGAAAAACTTTATATTATTTTTTTAAAGACGACAATCTACTAAATAGGAGAAAAAACTTATTAGCAAATGTAGGCACACCAACAAATTTATGCTCAAGAAATGTTTCTAAGAATATTTTATTTTATTTTATTTTGTTTTTGTTCTCGTTTTTCGTTTCGTTTTGTTTTGATTTTGATTTTGATTTAGTTTAGTTTAGTTAATTTATGAAGGCGCTTGTAAGGAAAATATTAATTTAGTAATAGTAAATTATTCTGACACTGATGATTGCGGAATATCAAATAACGGAGTAGTTCGCTGTTTATTAGTCTCATGATTGAAATACTGATAGTTGGATAATATCCGGTTGGAAAAGACAAGGACAAATGAAACAGGAAGTTAGAAATGTAGGCAAATTTTAGGCGTCAACGCCATCTTCAGGCTCACATTATTTGTTATATATAACAATACTACTATATATAGTAGTGCTGAAAGTATTAAATAAGATTTAATACTTTCAACACTAATATATTATATAGTAGTGTTGTTATATATGATGATTGCGTTTGCATGAAACTTTAAGTTTGTAGAATCGTTGTTTTTCTTGTACAACGCTCCCCTCCCGGATAGAGCACTCTTGAAACTGGATTTCTCCAAACAAACATCATAAATACATATATAATATGTATAATACCTTTGAAATATTGGCAGCGTAGGGGTAGTTGTGTCCTGGAAAGAGATGTAACCTTGCCAGCCTCTCCTGTAAAGCGTGCTTCTCAGGTAACTTCAACTCAACCTGAGACCACGTATTTAGCTTATCACTCATCAAACTATTTATATAGTCACTAAAGTATACAAATTAGCGTGAAAGTAAACACAATTTGATAAGTTCGCCACGTTGAGGCACTCCCAACCCAGAATAGGTTCTATACCCCTCACCACCCCTCTTGAGTCTTTACCCCGCGGCCGCCCCTATATACCACTAACCCCCTGCGGCCATCCCTGCCCCTTTTTACCCCTCACAGCCCCTATATACCTCTCCCTGCCCCTTTTTAACCATCACAGCCCATCTATACCTCGCCCTGCCCCTCTTTAACCATCACAGCCCCTCTATACCTCGCCCTGCCCCTCTTTAACCATCACAGCCCCTCTATACCTCGCCCTGCCCCTCTTTAACTATCACAGCCCCTCTTTACCTCTCCCTGCCCCTCTTTAACTATCACAGCCCCTCTTTACCTCTCCCTGCCCCTTTTTAACCATCACAGCCCCTCTATACCTCTCCCTGCCCCTCTTTAACCATCACAGCCCCTCTATACCTCTCCCTGCCCCTCTTTACCCCTCACAGCCCCTCTATACCTCTCCCTGCCCCTCTTTACCCCTCACAGCCCCTCTATACCTCTCCCTGCCTCTCTTTAACCATCACCGCCCCTCTATACCTCTCCCTGCCCCTCTTTAACTATCACAGCCCCTCTTTACCTCTCCCTGCCCCTTTTTAACCATCACAGCCCCTCTATACCTCTCCCTGCCCCTCTTTAACCATCACAGCCCCTCTATACCTCTCCCTGCCCCTCTTTACCCCTCACAGCCCCTCTATACCTCTCCCTGCCCCTCTTTACCCCTCACAGCCCCTCTATACCTCTCCCTGCCTCTCTTTAACCATCACCGCCCCTCTATACCTCTCCCTGCCCCTCTTTAACCATCACAGCCCCTCTATACCTCTCCCTGCCCCTTTTTACCCCTCACAGCCCCTCTTTACCTCTCCCTGCCCCTCTTTAACTATCACAGCCCATCTATACCTCGCCCTGCCCCTCTTTAACCATCACAGCCCCTCTATACCTCGCCCTGCCCCTCTTTAACCATCACAGCCCCTCTATACCTCTCCCTGCCCCTTTTTACCCCTCACAGCCCCTCTTTACCTCTCCCTGCCCCTCTTTAACTATCACAGCCCATCTATACCTCGCCCTGCCCCTCTTTAACCATCACAGCCCCTCTATACCTCGCCCTGCCCCTCTTTAACCATCACAGCCCCTCTATACCTCGCCCTGCCCCTCTTTAACCATCACAGCCCCTCTATACCTCGCCCTGCCCCTCTTTAACCATCACAGCCCCTCTATACCTCTCCCCATCCTCTCACCCCAATAATCAAACCTGTAGACGAAGACACTCAGTAGGTCTGAATATATGGAAGTCTTTGGAGTAGACGTGTCTGTGTCCTTGCGCGTAGCCGGAGTACCACCACAGTACCTTCTTATCTGGTACTACTAGCTGTTTAGTGTTTATAACTACCACGTGATCTCCAGCGTCCTGCAACAGAGTCTCCTTTTAACCATGTTAACATCTGTTTAGTGTTTATAACCACTAGTATATATAGGGGGGGGGGGGGCCAATGGCATAAAATGGCATAAAATGGAGACTTTTTCTATGGAGAAAATGGAAAAACCCATGAGTAATTCTCCATTTTCTCCATTTTATGCCATGAATTTTGTCTTCGAAATTTCATCTTTAACACCATTTAACACCTAAATTGGACATCCTAACATGTTTATTTACGCTTACTAGGGGCGTAACAAGCTTATGAAAGCTCATAGTAGGCTACTAGATGCTTATACTAGGTTAGTAGAGGCACACTTCAGGCAAACTCATAATTACTCAAGCCTAGTGTAAAGTTATTTCTACAGGCTAGGCTACAGCAGGAGTGCGTAATAGGGGAGAGTAATAGGCACTGAGAAGTGAGACCTACATCCTCGCAAGTCGAAACAAGCTCGCACTGCAAAGGGGAGGCCTGCCTTCCGAGATCGCTTTACCAGGGGGAAGCCTCGAGTCCAAATTTGTGTATCGACTATTATATCGAGGGGTAGGTGCAGACTTCGATAAACCGAAAAACCAAAAAAATATTTTCGGCTAATAATGAAGAGGGTAGCATAAAACGTGGAGAAAAGTGGTTTTTAGAAACCACTTACCTCTCGTATCGAGAGCTCCCGATTCCGAGCTCGTGTTGCAAAGGGGAGGCCTGCCTTCCGAGATCGCATTACCAGGGGGAAGCCTCGAGTCCAAAATTGTGTACCGAGGGGTAATTTTCTTAGTCAAAATTTTTCAAAGTTTTTCTGAAAAACACTTTTCTCCACGTTTCATGCTACTTTGTTCATTATAAGCCGAAAATATTTTTTCGATCAAAATTTTTCAAATTTTTTCTGAAAACCACGTTTCATGCTACCCTGTTCATTATTTGCCGAAAATATTTTTTTCCCCTCCATACACAATTTTGGACTCGAGGTAATGCGATCTCGGAAGGCAGGCCTCCCCTTTGCAACACGAGCTCGGAATCGGGAGTTCTCGATACGGGATGTACGTATCGAAAATGACTCGGACCGAAAATTTTCTAAGTCAACATTTTTCAAAGTTTTTCTGAAAACCACTTTTCTCCATGTTTCATGATACTCTGTTCATTATTGGCCGAAAATATCTTTTTTTAAAATAATTTTTCTCGAAATTCCAAATTTTTCAGGTTTTCAATGGCATAAAATGGCATAAAATGGCATAAAATGGCATAAAATGGAGACTATTTCTATGGAGAAAATGGAAAAACCTATGAGTAATTCTCCATTTTCTCCATTTATGCCATTGGCCCCCCCCTATATATAGTAAGATGGTTATAAATTATATGATTTATCATTGCTCACTCCTAAAAAGTAGACAACATTATCAAACAAACCATAACGTTACTGTAAATAACACAAATTGTCACAGACCATAACGTTACTGTAAATAACACAAATTGTCACAAACCATAACGTTACTGTAAATAGGTTTGTGTCTGCCCTCCAGTAGTTTGCAGACTGTCCTTGCTATGCCCTCTAACTGCTGACCAGTAGCGTCTAGCAGGACCCACTGCCGTGAAGTGACAAGGAGCTTAGCGTTCCTGGTGCAGGCAAACCGGTGTGACATTGCTCTGGGTGTTACTGGGTTATCATTAGCAGGCAAACCGGTGTGACATTGCTCTGGGTGTTACTGGGTTATCATTAGCAGGCAAACCGGTGTGACATTGCTCTGGGAGTTACTGGGTTATCATTAGCAGGCAAACCGGTGTGACATTGCTCTGGGTGTTACTGGGTTATCATTAGCAGGCAAACCGGTGTGACATTGCTCTGGGTGTTACTGGGTTATCATTAGCAGGCAAACCGGTGTGACATTGCTCTGGGTGTTACTGGGTTATCATTAGCAGGCAAACCGGTGTGACATTGCTCTGGGTGTTACTGGGTTATCATTAGCAGGCAAACCGGTGTGACATTGCTCTGGGTGTTACTGGGTTATCATTAGCAGGCAAACCGGTGTGACATTGCTCTGGGTGTTACTGGGTTATCATTAGCAGGCAAACCGGTGTGACATTGCTCTACTGGGTGTTACTGGGTTATCATTAGCAGGCAAACCGGTGTGACATTGCTCTGGGTGTTACTGGGTTATCATTAGCAGGCAAACCGGTGTGACATTGCTCTGGGTGTTACTGGGTTATCATTAGCAGGCAAACCGGTGTGACATTGCTCTGGGTGTTACTGGGTTATCATTAGCAGGCAAACCGGTGTGACATTGCTCTACTGGGTGTTACTGGGTTATCATTAGCAGGCAAACCGGTGTGACATTGCTCTGGGTGTTACTGGGTTATCATTAGCAGGCAAACCGGTGTGACATTGCTCTGGGTGTTACTGGGTTATCATTAGCAGGCAAACCGGTGTGACATTGCTCTGGGTGTTACTGGGTTATCATTAGCAGGCAAACCGGTGTGACATTGCTCTGGGTGTTACTGGGTTATCATTAGCAGGCAAACCGGTGTGACATTGCTCTGGGTGTTACTGGGTTATCATTAGCAGGCAAACCGGTGTGACATTGCTCTGGGTGTTACTGGGTTATCATTAGCAGGCAAACCGGTGTGACATTGCTCTACTGGGTGTTACTGGGTTATCATTAGCAGGCAAACCGGTGTGACATTGCTCTGGGTGTTACTGGGTTATCATTAGCTTTCTTAATCTACCAATGTTAGAACTTATCAACTTTAACAGTTCATTCCATTCACATGCTCTTACATTTCATTGCAGAATAATCTAAGATTCCATTTTCTGTAAGTAAAACCAATACATAATGGAAAATGAGTGCTAGAAGGATAAATAATACATAATACATGTTTAACAACCTCCGCAGAGCTATATTTCAAGAAATAAAATAAAATGCTGACTCCAGAATTGTTAACACACTAATTACAATTTTAAATCACATTGCAGATTTACTAGTCATATTGTTAAAGTTGTTTTTAAATTATAATTTAAATCAGTGGATAATAAAGGGCGCTGCTTATTGATTGAAATTGCGCGTTTTGGTCTAAAAAGTGTATTTTTAGACATGATGTCACCTAATTTCTACTTTATAAGGGGGGGGGGGGGGCCTATGGTAGCCAGGGGGGCCGGGGGGCACTATGGTAGCAAGGGGGGGGGGGGGGGGGGGGGGGGGGGCTATATGAAATGTTACACCACTAACTTAAATGAAAGCAGATAAGACTAATTGTCGTTTCCCCTGCTCTTGCTGGTTCCCAATCTCTGAGGATCCTGGGAGGGGTAATGTATGACATGAGTTCCCGGAGGGGCCATCAGTGGCATCCTCATTCCGGCAGGGCCAGGAAGGGGGGGTAGGACGCTGCCAGCCAGCGCGCGCAGAACGGGCGGCTGAGGCACGTTGTCAGCACGAAGCCCAAAGAAGTCGTGAGCTAGCAGTTCGGCAGGAGGTTGAGGAAGAGCAGGAGGTAAACCAGGGACAGGGGGCAGTGGGCGGGGTTCCTCCTGTGCTTTTATAGCCGGGGCTCCCTGACCTCTCCCCCACAGGATCTTTAACCTCCTTCCTTTAATTATGAGCTTGTTAAAGGCTCCCTGGACTGCTTTCTCTGCAGACTCTCTCTGAGAGAAGTTAACAAATGCACACCCACTTTTAGTGACCATGTTTATGTTACGGATCTCACCATACTGATAAAAGATATCCCTCAAGTCCTGTTCCTTAATGTTAGCGTCCAGTCCCCCCACGTAGACTGTAGTAATGGTCTTATCAGCAGGTGGGGTTAGTTTGGGCATATCAGCCGCTCTCTTCAACAACTTGTCCGCCACTGGGTCATCAACACCGTAATAACGATCCTTTATGTTCTGAAAGAGATCTCTTTGCTTATAAAATAAGAAACGCTGTGTGGCCCTGTACAGGGCTGACAGGGCTAGTAGCGTATACAGTAGTCTTGTTATTGTAGTATTATTCAATGTTGGAATTAATCGATAAAATCTGAACACTGCAAGGCGAAGGAACACAACTGAAACAAGGCCATGACAAATTGAGTAATACCTGATTAGCAAGCGGGTCGTTAGGGTCAGTAGGCATCTCGTGTCGGTACGGGCACTCCTCTCCCCGCTTACACTCCCCTTTCACCCAGAAGGAGCAGATATGGGCACGATTTCGTTTGTAGTAAGGGGTAGTTCGTGCTAATTTCATGAGCAATTCGTTAGGGGCCTTACCTCCTGCTCCTCCTGTCAGATTAGTAGGTCATTTTGTATAACAAAGATACAATTAGAAACAAATAATTGTTGTGTACGTACGTGCTACAGGATTGTACGTGCGCGGAAGTTATATTTAGTTATTATTTTATATATGCGCGGTACGAATATAACGATTTTTCCACACCGCAGAAGGACTTCCCACAAAACTGTACCAAATAAAATGGTAATACAAATGTCTTGAAACTTTTCAGATACCTTACAAGACATATTTATAACGTACGAAATGTGGCGGTTTTCCGAAAATTTCGCCATATTTTCGGACCTCCAAAATTTCGGTCGTCGTAATAGAATCCGTCGCATTATCTTTTAGCTTATTTCAATGACTGTGCCTTCACTGCTTTATTTTGTTTCTAAAAAGTAATATCAAGTAAAATAAATAAATAAATTCTGGCATCTTGGGACAAATTATCACCACACCAATGACGAATTGAATGTCAAGCAATACAGTTTAAATTTGCATTAAAATACATGTATGTGCTAACATGAAAGTCTTACAGTCTTAACTCTTAATACAGACTAAGTTTGAACATGATTTTACCGAATTTCAGAAATTTCCTTACTGCTTACTGTCACAAAAATGATGAAAAATACCCTTATTTTCTGTGACGTCCGAAATGAGACGGTTTTTGTTCAATTTCGCCATATTTTCGGACCGCCAAAATTTCGGTCGTCGCAAATTGGTCCGCCACAAAAAAGTCTTGTAAGGTAGTAAGATACTTATAATAGGAATATTCTGTGCGAGTTTGGGTGAATTTTATGTGCCAAACTTGAAATATTACTTCAAACACAAGAAAATATAACCACAAATTTTGAGATATTTTCTTGTGTTTGAAGTGATATCTCAAGTTTGGCACATAGAAATTCGCCCAAACTCGATCAGATTGTTCCTATTATAGTTATTTTACTATCTGGAAAGTTTAAAGAAAATTGATCAACACGATCTCGAGATAAATGCCTTGGTACCAAATATTATACCTTGGTACAGTTTAGTACAAAAAGTCCAACTCCACAACCGTCCGAAAATCCTGATCGTTTTGAGAAGGAGGCTGAGTTAAACTATTATAAAGCGTGCATACCTGATCCACCAGCTTTTGCTAAGGCAGATTCGTTGTTCTGTTGGTAATATTCCCTGTTCACATCGGATTTTGGTATATTGTCTTGCATCTTGAGGGCAGCGTCCCTCACCTCAAATAATATTCAGATTAGAAAATATGTACACATGTTGACAGAGTAATATGTAATATGTTATATGTAACATGTAATATGCAGCATATTCCTTATCTAACAATGTCTTATAGTATACACCTGCACAGGAAGCCCATATTCTAAGTCTAGTAAACAAGTCTGACAGACGTTCTTTGTCTTTGCGCAGGTTTGGCACACCTCTGTCTTCTTGTACCTCATCTTAGCACCGGGGCACCATCTGAAATATTATTTGTTAGATTGGAGCGGGCAACACACCAACACACTACACAGGGGATGTATAACTTACCTAAAGACAGTGAAGGGACGGTTACAGATAGTGCACTCCTTCCCGTACGTCTCACGTATCATCCTCATGTACGGATTATCACCTAGACACGTCTGGCACAGAATTGGGAAATCACTTGTCTCCCAGTTCATACGGTTGTAAGTGTTCGCTCCAAGTGAGGTTGCCATGGTTACTCTATATAGTTGAAATATTAGAGGTTAGATACTATAGTTATGCTCATAACTAGCCCATGCTAGTAGTTCACGCTTCAAATTTAAAAGTGTGCCACATTTTTCCAAATTGATGTAAAATGAAACAACAGTTCGGATATGTATATATACAGGGTGGGCCACAAAAGACTACCCATTTGTACCATTTCTATTCATCGCACATTCCATGTGAGAAGAACGATATAAACAAGCAGGACGGATCATCTGTGATAGTCCTTATTAGTTAAAATATAGAGAGAATGGAATGTGCGATGGATCATGGTGAATAGAATTGATAAAACGTGAATAAATCGGTGGTTTTTTAATTTTTTTACCCAGGATTTTTGTTGGTGGTTTCTATTAACCAATGTTAACAGTTCTGTGTGAGAAATTCAAGCTAGCTCGCTCAGGGGCTAAATTGGTTAAATAAGCTCAGTGAAGCTCGCAATCACACAAAACTTGCCACACAGGTTTAGCTACTTGTTATTAACATTCTGTGAAATTTAGAAGCAAAAATATTTAGCAGAACATAAGTTATGCCACTTTTTGTTTAAAAAATAATTAGTGAGATCTCAGCGAGCTGTTACAATTTTAAGAGATAAGGATGGGTAGTCTTTTGTGGCCCACCCTGTGTATATAATATACTCTCAGTAGTGTAGGTACACTATTACCCTCCAGTATAAAGTCAGCTGTGTGTATTTAAAGAGATGATTAAAGAAATTAACATTCCCAATATTCAGCCAATATGTTGAGAGTTAAACTCAACAGTTGGCTCAACACTGTTTGTTTTACTGTGGTTACTAGGTGGTTACTAGGTGGTTACTAGGTGGTTACTACTGTTTGTTTTATCTAAGATTTGTGAACGAGGAGGGTTAAAAGAGGGATAAGAAGAAATGACGAGCTATCCCCCCCCCCAGCTATCCCGGGAGGGGGCGAGTAGTTGGGGGAGCTATCCCCCGGCTACTCACCCCCCCAGCTATTCAAGATAGCTTTTAATGACAATAATAGAGAGAGGGAGAAATATTATAAGTTAATAGTAGTTAAGTATCACTATTGAAGAGAAACCAGGAAATTGTTAGATTAAAGAAAAGCCTCTAATTATCAATGCTTTTTAAGTATTTAAGTATTTAAGTAAGAATAATTATCTGTTTATTAAGTATTTAAGAGTTAAGTAAGTATAATTATCTGTTTATTAAGTATTTAAGAGTTAAGTAAGTATAATTATCTGTTTATACCCAGGCCTTAAAAAGTTTACCTATAAAGTGGTAGGTACAACTCAAGAAGAAAGGAAATCAATGCACTAAGAACAATAAGATAGTCAGTATTTGTACATTGCACGTGGACACCGAATATTTTAACATATTTATAATTTTTTTAGACGCCGAAATTATAGAAAATTCATGAACAGCTTTAATTTGGCGAATCAGCAATAAATCAAAACAAACATAACAAAAAAATACAAAAACGTTTAATTAACGAATTCTAACAAAATGCAGCAAAATATCATGCAGTAACATTAAAAATATACACATTATAAACTGGAATATCTTCAAATGGTCTAATTGAAGAACTCCTGACACTCTTTACTACAGGGGTAGCTAAATGGACAGGGTGGTTACTAGGTGGTTGCTAGGTGGTTACTAGGTGGTTACTAGGTGGTTACTAGGTGGTTACTACAGGGGTAGCTAAATGGACAGGGTGGTTACTAGGTGGTTACTAGGTGGTTACTAGGTGGTTACTAGGTGGTTACTACAGGGGTAGCTAAATGGACAGGGTGGTTACTAGGTGGTTACTAGGTGGTTACTAGGTGGTTACTAGGTGGTTACTACAGGGGTAGCTAAATGGACAGGGTGGTTACTAGGTGGTTACTAGGTGGTTACTAGGTGGTTACTAGGTGGTTACTACAGGGGTAGCTAAATGGACAGGGTGGTTACTAGGTGGTTGCTAGGTGGTTACTAGGTGGTTACTAGGTGGTTACTAGGTGGTTACTACAGGGGTAGCTAAATGGACAGGGTGGTTACTAGGTGGTTACTAGGTGGTTACTAGGCTAGGTGGTTACTACAGGGGTAGCTAAATGGACAGGGTGGTTACTAGGTGGTTACTAGGTGGTTACTAGGTGGTTACTACAGGGGTAGCTAAATGGACAGGGTGGTTACTAGGTGGTTACTAGGTGGTTACTACAGGGGTAGCTAAATGGACAGGGTGGTTACTAGGTGGTTACTAGGTGGTTACTACAGGGGTAGCTTAATGGACAGGGTGGTTACTAGGTGGTTACTAGGTGGTTACTACAGGGGTAGCTAAATGGACAGGGTGGATACTAGGTGGTTACTAGGTGGTTACTAGGTGGTTACTACAGGGGTAGCTAAATGGACAGGGTGGTTACTAGGTGGTTACTAGGTGGTTACTAGGTGGTTACTACAGGGGTAGCTAAATGGACAGGGTGGTTACTAGGTGGTTACTACAGGGGTAGCTAAATGGACAGGGTGGTTACTAGGTGGTTACTACAGGGGTAGCTAAATGGACAGTTAATATTATGTAATTTGCATCGTTAAGTACAATACATTTTTAAAGGTAATTTCGAATTGAAAATACTGACGAGGAGCAATGGCTGAAACCTTTAAAAATTAAATTAAATCAAAACTTAAAACAAATGGTGACCATTAACTGTTGTCTTTAAATAGTCAATATGTCTGAGAACATCTTTTCTGGTGATCACTCCCTTCAACTTGCCCCGGTGAGTAATCAGGACCTGACTGAGGCCTAGTTTAGTGAACATGTCTATAGTGTGAGCTAGAGGAGTTTTAGGCTCTATGCAGATAGGATCATGGTTCACAAACTTGCCCAGGGAAACAGATATAGGACCCCCGCCAGCATTAGAGCGCATTAGCCCGTCAGAGAAATACACTCTACTAGCGTTCACCAAATCAATGTGTTTATCTCGTGCACATTTGAGAGCGCGTATCAAATCATTCCTGCTGACATATCCTATGACAATGTTAAGTTGCGTGTCTGCTACAATAGGATATCCGTGGTAAGTAGTCGTCTCCAGCAGCACTTCTAGATCCTGCACTATCACAGTGTTAGCATCTATCATCTGCAGCTCCTTTACTTTCTTAGTCTTACAAACATCTTCACACACACTGGTATGCATAAACCGGTCCTTACCATCCAAATAGGGGTAACCGTTAATAGTGATATGAGCGTCGTATATCCCATTAGGTGTGATAAAGTCACCTACCCACTTAGCTGTCATTACTGCCACCATGATAGGGACTATGTAAGTTATCCCTCCTGTCAGTTCGAACATGATCACCACTAAACTCACTGTCATTCTGGTGACACCACTAAGTACTGCAGCTGCTCCCACCATAGCGTACAGCCCGGTTAGGGTGCACACTGACATGTCAGGACAGATACTCTGTAGGAAGCTAGAGTCTCTATTCAGATATGTGATGTACTGCACTAGCTCACCCATAACTCTACCAATACAGCCACCTACTGCTAGCGAGGGAATAAACAATCCTGCAGGCACCTTTAGACCGAAGGTAAATACTGTGATAACAGACTTGACAATTGCAGCCATCATAAGCTCCCATATAGCCGTCTTGAGGCCCGCATTAGGAGCCCCCCACGCTATGTTACTAGCTTGTGCAGTCCCGTTATAAGTGGTCTTCTCAGTGGAGTTGTAGTCGCAAAGATCGGAGTTATCTTCCCATTCACACACCGCAAATAACTCTTTTATTAAACCTGAAGTAGACTTCCTTGTAAAGGGGTTTACAAAGCTGATAATACCTGTTACTAAAGCCACCGCCGCTACTTCAATAAAGGGGTGGTGCCCAAGTCTAGATGTTTTCCTCTTAATGCACCAGTAAATATTGCATTTGATAAAGAGGGCTCCTAGTACCCCTCCAATACAGCCCAGGATTACAAATGGGATAAGCTCGAAGAAATGCCAGGCATAGTCGTATTCTATGTAGAATAGAGCGGATTGTCCAGTGCTATAAGGGTTAAGGCTCTGCAGCACTACAGACGCAACCATGGCGCAGAAGAAGCTCCTCCACAAAGTCTTGTGGGGGAAGTAGTAGCTCACTTCCTCAAGAGAGAACAGTACGCCTCCAAGAGGGGCCCCAAATGCTACTGACACTCCTGCTGCTGCTGCAGCAGATAGCACTTCTCTCTTTCTTGCTTCGTTCTTTGTAAACTTTGGAAAGAGTCTCACAAAGACATTACCAATACAGCAGGCTACGTGCACCATGGGTCCCTCCTTTCCTAACGAGAGGCCTGATGCCACACAAAGTACCAGACCCACTGACTTGGTCATCAGAGTGGATAGACCCAAGTATCCCCTGATGATGAAACCACTGAGTATAGTTTTAACCTCGGGAATACCACTTCCGCTAGCATACGGGGCAATGACCATCACAAAGATGACTGTCAGCATCGCAAAGGAGGTTCCTATGCAAATGTAGCAGAAATAATTGACAGCGTATCTGATAACCTTGTTATCTCCCCCCACTATTAGCTCGGACCAACGTAACCAGTTAGAGCAGTAATCCTGTGCTATTATGGTAGAGTTGCTCCAACAACAGGCCTCTTTGTCCAGGAACCAGCCATCCCCGCAGTATCCCTCCCTAACGTCTATAAGCCACTTAGCCCCAATCTCCACCACACCAGCTACCAGGCCTGACAACACTCCTATAATAAACACCACCATCCACCCAGACGCTGCATCTAGACCCTTGTACAGGAACCCTTGTGTCATCGTGTGCTTGTGTCTCGCCCGGTCATTTGCCTGATCTCTCAGCCAGTCCACTGTCTGGAAATCATCATACGCAGTTCCAAGGTCATCTGTAATAATATCGCTCACTACACTCCCCTCATCTTCCTCTTCTAGATAAGGGTTGGGATCTGTAGCATGTAAACTGATATAGTCTTCTTCGGAGGGCGCCTCTATTAGTGGCTCTCTGAACGGCTCCCTGAATCCATCGTCTAATATTCCTTTCATTTCCTGTTGTTTTTATAGATTTATTAAATGTATATTTTAAGGAATAATGAAATATTATATTATGATAATATATATATAATATAATAATATTGTAGATAATATAACATAATATTGTATTATTATAATAATATAATATAATAATATATTATATTATAAATTATATTAAAATAATAGACCACACTGTGAGAAGGTAGCAACAGTTTAAGAGTTACTAATGTTACAGATCTACTTACAATAACGACTCAGGGGTAAGCAGAATGGTATAAAACTATCAACTGCTGGAACATTACATAAAAAAAGTTTAAAGAATTTCTCTTCCTCAATTTAAGATAAAATTTACCATTCACCAAACATTAAATAAATAAAAAAGTGCAGCACAGAAATAGGTTCAGTGTACCAGATAATGTAGGGACTACGGATGGTAGTCCCTACAGCTACAGATAATGTCCGACCTAGGCAGGAGGCACATGCTCAGAGCAGTTGTCCTTCTTCAAAAATTCTGTAATTTCTAAAAACTAAAAAGATATTATCGAAAGAATTTCGAAATCGCTGGATCTAATAATAGATCTAAAAAGTTTCTCCAACTGAGAATTTATGCAACCGACAAAAATGTCTCTTATAAGTCGAAGCCAGACTTTTCCGATAAAATCAGGACCTGAATCAAGAAGAGGAAGATACCAGCTTCAGGTTTTTGTCACGTGATTACCCTACAACTATCTGAGAAGCTAAACCCCGATGTTGGCTGGAACTTCTAGCTCCACCTCGAATATGAGAGTAGCGTTGGGCTGGATCCCCGCGTTTGGCATTCCTTTCTTTCCATAGGCCCAGTCAGGGTCTATTGTTATCTCTGCTTTCTCACCATAGGTCATCGTTAATAAAGCCTCATCCCATCCCCTTATCACAAGACCTGCAAGAAATAAAAAGTCACAATATTACCAGTATCATGTGATTAACACAATGTTATCACAAGATTACCAGTATCATGTGATTAACACAATGTTATCACAACATTACCAGTATCATGTGATTAACACAATGTTATCACAACATTACCAGTATCATGTGATTAACACAATGTTATCACAATATGACCAGTATCAGGCAGTATCGAGATAGCCCGACCACGGTCCGCGGACCACGGTCCGCGGACCAGTGGTCCGCGGACCAGTGGTCCGCGGACCACTGTCCGCGGACCACTGTCATATTACTGTATAATAACAGTATCCCCTGAATCAAGCAGGGTTCACATCATCCCCTGAGTCAAGCAGGGTTCACATCATCGCACGCGAATTCCAATCAGCGGTGGTGTCAAGGCTTATTAAACGATTAAGCAACCTTACGAGATCAGTTCACATCATGCAATATATAAAGAATAACTATTATCAGACTGCATCAATCATTTCTATCATCAACTCCTTCTTGAACAACTACAACTATGGTCTCAGAGAAAACGAAACGGATGAACTCAGCCCTACCCTGCGACCCTATCTGCAAACCTATCTCACCTCTCGACAAGTGGACTCAAGCTGGTAAAACCCTCATCGTCTCCAGAGCCAACCCAAGCTTCTGCGTTTTCTGCAACAAGAGGCATGCTGGTATATCATGCGCTGCTCATGACCCTGTAGCATCTTCTGATGCCGGAGGTCTTGCTAACTCCTCTGCTCATGCTCCTCGTGTCCGCTCCAAATGTAACAACTGCGTTGTTACGAATGTCCACAGAGAATCTTCAGTCCTCGATGGGATCCTACATTCTACTACAAAAAAGATAACAAAGCTTTGTCCTGAGCATCAACTCCCGGACTCCATTCCACCAACTCCTCAAGACACGATAGATAGAGACAACGCTGAACCCTTCACTAGCCCAACTACACAGCAAGGATCACAAACATCCCTGCTACCAAAAACGAACGACTTATATACCACATTTTAATCGTAATCATTTATTTCATTGAGCAATCAATATTAGTCGTAACTAATTATATCCGAGAGACCACATTTGAATCGTAATCAATAGTTTGATCCAGTAATTTACTACGCTACAATTAATTATGCTAGTCGTAACTAATTGCATCCAAGATACCATACATACCATTCATATGATCTGGTAACCAATCAACTATTCACAAACACCTGTTGCTTGATTCAGGGGATACTGTTATTATACAGTAATATGATCTGGTAGACAGTGGTCCGCGGACCACGGTCCGCAGACAGTGGTCCGCGGACCACTGGTCCGCGGACCGTGGTCCGCGGACCGTGGTCGGGCTATCTCGATACTGCCCAGTATCATGTGATCAACACAATGTTATCACAATATGACCAGTATCATGTGATAACACAATGTTATCACAATATGACCAGTATCATGTGATCAACACAATGTTATCACAACATTACCAGTATCATGTGATCAACACAATGTTATCACAATATGACCAGTATCATGTGATTAACACAATGTTAACACAACATTACCAGTATCATGTGATTAACACAATGTTATCACAACATTACCAGTATCATGTGATTAACACAATGTTATCACAACATTACCAGTATCATGTGATCAACACAATGTTATCACAATATGACCAGTATCATGTGATCAACACAATGTTATCACAACATTACCAGTATCATGTGATTAACACAATGTTATCACAACATTGCCAGTATCATGTGATTAACACAATGTTATCACAACATTGCCAGTATCATGTGATTAACACAATGTTATCACAACATTACCAGTATCATGTGATTAACACAATGTTATCACAACATTACCAGTATCATGTGATCAACACAATGTTATCACATTATGACCAGTATCATGTGATTAACACAATGTTATCACAACATTACCAGTATCATGTGATTAACACAATGTTATCACAATATGACCAGTATCATGTGATTAACACAATGTTATCACAACATTACCAGTATCATGTGATTAACACAGTGTTATCACAACATTACCAGTATCATGTGATCAACACAATTTTATCACAATATGACCAGTATCATGTGATTAACACAATGTTATCACAACATTGCCAGTATCATGTGATCAACACAATGTTATCACAACATTGCCAGTATCATGTGATCAACACAATGTTATCACAACATTACCAGTATCATGTGATTAACACAATGTTATCACAACATTACCAGTATCATGTGATTAACACAATGTTATCACAACATTACCAGTATCATGTGATTAACACAATGTTATCACAACATTGCCAGTATCATGTGATTAACACAATGTTATCACAACATTGCCAGTATCATGTGATTAACACAATGTTATCACAACATTGCCAGTATCATGTGATTAACACAATGTTATCACAACATTACCAGTATCATGTGATTAACACAATGTTATCACAACATTGCCAGTATCATGTGATTAACACAATGTTATCACAACATTACCAGTATCATGTGATTAACACAATGTTATCACAACATTGCCAGTATCATGTGATTAACACAATGTTATCACAACATTACCAGTATCATGTGATTAACACAATGTTATCACAACATTGCCAGTATCATGTGATTAACACAATGTTATCACAACATTACCAGTATCATGTGATTAACACAATGTTATCACAACATTACCAGTATCATGTGATCAACACAATGTTATCACAACATTACCAGTATCATGTGATTAACACAATGTTATCACAACATTACCAGTATCATGTGATTAACACAATGTTATCACAACATTACCAGTATCATGTGATTAACACAATGTTATCACAACATTACCAGTATCATGTGATTATCACAATGTTAACACAACATTACCAGTATCATGTGATTAGCACAATGTTATCACAACATTGCCAGTATCATGTGATTAACACAATGTTAACACAACATTACCAGTATCATGTGATTAACACAATGTTATCACAACATTACCAATATCATGTGATTAGCACAATGTTATCACAACATTACCAGTATCATGTGATCAACACAATGTTATCACAACATTACCAGTATCATGTGATCAACACAATGTTATCACAACATTACCAGTATCATGTGATTAACACAATGTTATCACAATATTACCAGTATCATGTGATTAACACAATGTTATCACAACATTGCCAGTATCATGTGATTAACACAATGTTATCACAACATTACCAGTATCATGTGATTAACACAATGTTATCACAACATTACCAGTATCATGTGATCAACACAATGTTATCACAACATTGCCAGTATCATGTGATTAGCACAATGTTATATTTAGAATATGACGATTAATATGCCCACCTGTGCCAACTTTGAACTTAAGAGCTTTACGATCCTTTTTCCGCGAGTTTTCCACATTTGAATCAAATACTGTCCCGTCTTCTAATTGACCTATAAACGACAATATAAATACGATGGTAGATAAAATTTGTGGGATTTAAAGAAATAAAATAACAGTATAAAAGTACGGGGTAGAAGTAATAGTATAGAGTATAGTAGCAGAGTTGTAGTACAGTTGTAGTATGGGGTAGAAGTAATAGTATAGAGTATAGTAGCAGAGTTGGATTATATTTCTCACCAGTATACCACACGCTCACTACTGAGCCTTTCTCCGGTTTCATGTGAGTTTTTCCTTTCTTTATTATCTTCTTAGTGAATCCTACCTTCTCGTCAGTTACTGCAGCATCCTGAAGAGACTTTCGTATAACAAGCGTTACACTGGTGGCTTTAAACTCTTCTGAGTAATATTACTGGGGGGGGGGGGGGGGGGGGGTGTGGTGATATTTTAATATCGATATCATGGTACTCCGTACTCACCTCTTTAGCAGCTTCTTTCTGATTTTTCTTAGCTTCATCTTCTTTGATTTTGAGAGCTTTAGTCTGCTCAAGAGCTTCAGCAAGATCTGCATCTTCATCACCTTTTCTAGCCTGAAAAATAACTTAGTTGAGAGAGAGAGAGAGAGAGAGAGAGAGAGAGAGAGAGAGAGAGAGAGAGAGAGAGAGAGAGAGAGAGAGAGAGATAGAGAGAGATAGAGAGAGAGAGAGAGAGATAGAGAGAGAGAGAGAGAGAGAGAGAGAGAGAGAGAGAGAGAGAGAGAGAGAGAGAGAGAGAGAGAGAGAGAGAGAGAGAGAGAGAGAGAGAGAGAGAGAGAGAGAGAGAGAGCTATTGATTTTATGATAGACTTACTACGGGATCTGATTCGAATGCAGTTAATGCATTAAGCACTTTGTCTTTAGATGATCCTTTTGCAATAGCTTGTAGCTTCCCAAATAGCTTTTGGTCTTTCAGGAACTGTAATATTTATTACAACATTAAAGAATAAAATTTCGAAATGACTTTTGGAAACGTTATGTATGATCGAATTTAAGAAATTTAGACCCTTTATTTTAGTAAAGATCCTTTATTTTAGTAAAGACTGCCTAAAGAAACTTTTTTGGAGAAAGCACCATAAAATGTCTTGAGTCTTCGTTAATCGTTATTCGGGAATTTTCAAGGTCGGGATGACATTTACATTTTGATGGTATTTTTGATTAGTGTCCACTCTATAAAAATGGCTTAGTATTGTAACTGGCTTAGTATTATAACTGGCTTAGTATTATAACTGGCTTAGTATTATAACTGGCTTAGTATTATAACTGGCTTAGTATTATAACTGGCTTAGTATTATAACTGGCTTAGTATTATAACTGGCTTAGTATTATAACTGGCTTAGTATTATAACTGGCTTAGTATTATAACTGGCTTAGTATTATAACTGGCTTAGTATTATAACTGGCTTAGTATTATAACTGGCTTAGTATTATAACTGGCTTAGTATTATAACTGGCTTAGTATTATAACTGGCTTAGTATTATAACTGGCTTAGTATTATAACTGGCTTAGTATTATAACTGGCTTAGTATTATAACTGGCTTAGTATTATAACTGGCTTAGTATTATAACTGGCTTAGTATTATAACTGGCTTAGTATTATAACTGGCTTAGTATTATAACTGGCTTAGTATTATAACTGGCTTAGTATTATAACTGGCTTAGTATTATAACTGGCTTAGTATTATAACTGGCTTAGTATTATAACTGGCTTAGTATTATAACTGGCTTAGTATTATAACTGGCTTAGTATTATAACTGGCTTAGTATTATAACTGGCTTAGTATTATAACTGGCTTAGTATTATAACTGGCTTAGTATTATAACTGGCTTAGTATTATAACTGGCTTAGTATTATAACTGGCTTAGTATTATAACTGGCTTAGTATTATAACTGGCTTAGTATTATAACTGGCTTAGTATTATAACTGGCTTAGTATTATAACTGGCTTAGTATTATAACTGGCTTAGTATTATAACTGGCTTAGTATTATAACTGGCTTAGTATTATAACTGGCTTAGTATTATAACTGGCTTAGTATTATAACTGGCTTAGTATTATAACTGGCTTAGTATTATAACTGGCTTAGTATTATAACTGGCTTAGTATTATAACTGGCTTAGTATTATTATAACCGGCTTAGTATTATAACTGGCTTAGTATTAAAACTGGCTTAGTATTATTAAAACTGGCTTAGTATTATTAAAACTGGCTTAGTATGAAAACTGCGCTTGTTGAGGACATGACGTGAGCATATTTCATAATTAATCGAAACTGACGACGATGAACAACATCATTCAACTAAAACTGATCTGGGGCCACCCAGCAACCTGAGTCAGAGTTTCATATTTCTATAGGACTGGTACTACTCTATATTTATTTACATTTATCTATATTTATCTATAATTATCTATATTCATCTATATTCATCTATATTTATCTATATTTATCTATATTTATCTATATTTATCTATATTTATCTATATTTATCTATATTTATCTATATTTATCTATATTTATCTATATTTATCTATATTTATCTATATTTATCTATATCTATCTATATTTATCTATATTTATCTATATTTATCTATATTTATCTATACTTAACTATATTTTAAATCTATATTTGAGTATATTTATCTACATTTATCTATATTTATCTATATTTATCAATATTTATCAATATTTATCAATATTTATCAATATTTATCTATATTTATCTATATTTATCTATATTTATCTATATTTATCTACACTTAACTATATTTTAAATCTATATTTATCTATATTTATCTATATTTATCTATATTTATCTATATTTATCTATATTTATCTATATTTATCTATATTTATCTATATTTATCTATATTTATCTATATTTATCTATATTTATCTATATTTATCTATATTTATCTATATTTATCTATATTTATCTATATTTATCTATATTCATCTATATTTATCTATATCAACCCTGATGATTTGAGCCATACTGATGAGTCCTAATAGGACGAAATACTGTGTCTATGGATTTATCTATATCTATATATATATATTTAACTATTGATTGAAATAAATTTTCGTGCACATACAGAATGAATGGTTAATAATTTAATATATATGTAGACCAAGCTCTGTGCACGGGATGCTTCCTGGAAGAATCCAGTTCTTTTAGCGGGGCACCCTACTTAAAGCCAAATTGAGATATAATAATCATATTCCTAGGGAAATAATCAGAATATATATACTATATTTATCTAAATTTACCTGAACTGTGGCATTTTCTTGTAGAAAAGCTATAGCCTCTTTCTTAGATACCTTCTCTGATTTAAAATCATCAACAGTAACAGCAGCCATTTTCTAACCAACAAACTTGATAATCAATAATAATTATCTACAGAAGCTAAGTGAATCAAAAGACTTTTTATAATTGACTTCAAATTTTAAATTGTAAAAGAGTTACATAATAGAATAAACTTGATTTTTCTTGGAGAAGTTATCTTTTGACTCTTAGGTTGCGAACAAAATGAAGAAGCAGACTTTAGGCTAGAAACTTTATTTCAATTCAATAAAGTTTCTAGCCTAAAGTCTGCTTCTTCATTTTGTTCGCAACCTAAGAGTCAAAAGATAACTTCTCCAAGAAAAATCAAGTTCAAATGCGACTCATAAATATAGCCCCCTTGAACTATAGAATAAACTGGCATCTAAATTTCATAAACTATTGCAGATTTAAAAAAAAACAATTATCTGTTTCAATAATTCATTAATTTTACAAAAAATTACACATTCTATACTCCAATTTGAATAAACGAGATAAGCAAAGCTCAGAGTAAATATGATGAACTATTTACTTAAAATTTATCAAGTTCACATTTTGTCACTGAAAATTAAATTTGTAAGAATCCTTGAAAAGTAATTTTGTTCCTCTCTTTCAGATCATTGAGCATGTTTGGAGTGTCAGACCACCCTTGAAATTAAAAGGGCTGTACTAGCTAGTAGCTATTGACAGCAGCTAAAATGGGCTGATTAAGAAATAGAACATGGTAACTTGTATCATAACAATCTGGTCTGAATTATTGGCATTTTCTAGAAACTTTGTTGAGCTGAAGGAGAAGGTGTATCAAGAGATTCTTATTTGTCCTGTGAAAACTGAATGTTGTATCCTCCAGAATTTGGATCCTGAACCATGTTAAAATTCTCTGTGCTTAAACCAAAGGGCTTCAAAACAAGATTTCCCAAGTCTTTCAATTTAGACATGCACTCCTCTTTCATTTTTTCTTGTTGAATTTCAATTTCTTTTGGCAACCGTTTAGCAGCTTCTACTGCGATTCCTTGCCGAAAATCAAGTTCAATTACTCGTTTATAATCTTCCAAGGCTGGACTCAACTTTTCAAGCTTTTCTCTGACTTGGGCTCTACGTAAAATTGCCTTCAGGTATTGAGGATTGAGTTCAATGGAAATGCTGCAATCTTCTTCAGCTATTTTGTATTCTGATTCTGAAACATGGCATGCTGCACGATTTGCATGAAGTATTGAACGTAAATCATTTAACTGGCTCCGACACAATACAATGGCCTTTGAATAAATTTGCATTGCACTATTGTAATCTCCACACTTATAAATTTCGTTACCCTTAGTTTTTAAAGAAAGAACCTCATCTTTAACAGCAATCAGATCTTCATCAGAATATTCATTTTCTTGTGTATCCACTTCTTTTATCCCCTCATTCATCTCTGATTTAGATTGTTTAACATTGGTTTCTGCGCATAGGTCAACATTTTCATCAAGGTTAGAATTTTCTATTGGTTCACAACCAATTGTCTTGCTTATAACCTGGTCAATATAATCATGATCAATTGATTCACTAGCTAATTCGTAATCAGACTCTGAACTGCATTCATCTTTCTCGTTCCATGGCATAATCTGAAATGCAATCCCTCATTAATGATTGTGAACATCATGTAGTGTTTACAATTACAGTGCACTCCAATTTACCTATTGGAGTTCAAGAGAAACGATTAGTTCTTGGGCCAAGAAATATTTCCAAAACCGTCAGAAACCATCAGGGCCAACTGTCCTTCAGAGGCAGCATTTAGGTGCGACGGGTGCGGACTTGCACTTTAAGCAGTCTCCTGCATATATTTGCACTTTAAACTGTTTCCATAGTTTTAAGTGTAAAAACCAACAATCTATCAAAAAACTGGGGTGAGTTTAGAGTTTAAACACCTGTTTTTGACTTGAAATCTGGGGTGACTTTGGACACCTATGTACAGTTTAGACTGAAATTCTGGGATGACTTTCTACTGTTTGACACCTGCATGCTAAAGGATCCTTGATACCATGCCTTCAGTCTGGTTAGCTTGTTAGAGTGTTACTGTTGTTCTTGATTACAGCTTTTTATCGTAATCCATGTTCACTTGTTATCGGATACATTTAATTATGATCAATTGGTTCTTGAAACTTACCATTTTTGCCAGCTGCTAAGAAGACTAAAGTTTCTTCCTAACAAGGTGACAACTCTGCTTCATCCAGAGCCCAGAAATTTGGAAAATCTTTTTACATAAGTGGGGTCAAACTCTTCTGGGGGTAAGGGATCTCATCATCGCAAGGCTTAGGTCACATCACCAAAACCTAACTGAAGGCTACTCTAAAATTTTGGACAGGTCTTAAAATAATTTGACGTTTGTTCTTATAGTGTCAGGGGCCTTTTATATATTATATTTTAGTCTAATACATTTCACCTTATAATTAACCATCACTCCCATGTAGGAAGTATTATGTATTTGTGTATGTAATTGTGATTGTATCAGCGCATTTCATTCTACTCAACGCGTTCCATTCTACTCTTAACAAGCTTGACAATAGAAAGAATTATCATTAGCTTACCTCATAAAGTAATGTTCGAGCAGCTTTCTCACACAAAAAACCTACATAATTGAACAAAATTTGCTGCACATTTCTTCAATATTTGCTGCACCTGAGTCGCAGTATTTACCAAATTTGCCGTATTGCACTTTTTTGCAAAATTTTGCCACACCTGAACATTGCCTCTGCTTGTTTTGGAAGCCCCCTGAAATGACAACGCAAATTGGCCAAAAAAGTGACAAGTGCTTAAAACCTCTGATTGTGGAGTGAACTTAAGCACTTTTGTCAGAAAACTGCAGTGCTACTGCACTGTGACATTGTCAAAAAGAGCTACAGGAAATCATCATCACCCTGATCATGTTAAAAAGGATTCCATCATTTTCATTAGTGCATTACCCTCACTAAATCGCTCGCCCAAATGTATTTAAAATCTCGTTAAAAGACCCTGAGGGTATAAAAGTGACTTCAATTGGAGAATTTATGAACGTTGATTACGAATCAATCACATGACGTAAAGTAAAAACGCTTCCCTGAAGAGTTAAATGGGAAACACTGTTTTAGTCACACATGACAGGATAATAAAACACAAATTTGCTTGTAAGTGTAGAGATGTGGTTAAGGTTACGGTTAGCTAGTGGCGTAACGAAGGGCCCTGCTGACCCCCCTGTGCAGGAGGGGGGGCATCTCAGGGAGCGCCAAATTGTTGTTTGAATGTGGGACAATTTTGAAAAACTTAACTGAGGTACTAGCAAAACTGCACATTTTGCTCTAGAAACACACTTTTTTAGAGATTTTACCGGCGTACCCTCTAAAATCACCTAATTTATCCAATTTAAGCGACGGTCGCTGAACGGGGATGGGGCGCCAACATGTAAAGAAGGGCTCTTACTAATTCGCTCGCCCAAAAATTTCACGTGACTTCGGTTTTTATGGTTTTGCGGCTGTACAAAACGGTTTTACATAAACCCTTATCTGTTCTCCCAACCCTAACCCTAACCATAACCCCGAAGCTATCCATAACCCTTACCACAACCCTAACCCTAACCCGAGCCCTAAACAATCGATTTCATGTTTTACTAGCCTGTCACGTGACCAAAACGGTTTTTTGCCCATAACTCTCCAGGGAAGCATTTTTACCCTACGTCATGGGCGGTAATTGTTGGGAATCAGTTTTTAAAAATACACTGATTTAGATCAATCTCATACCCAAAAGGCCTTTTCACAAGAATTTTCTTTAAATTTTGGCGAGCGATTTAGTAAGAGCCGATAGCCTGAGGTCCCCAGGTAGGGCTATTTTAATGAACACAAATGCGTGGGCGCGATTGCAGCAGTTAGTAGCAGTTTGTGGCAGTAAGTGCCAGTTTGTAGCAGTTTGTAGCAGTTTGTGGCAGTTAGTGCCAGTTAGTAGCAGTTAGTAGCAGTTTGTAGCAGTTTGTGGCAGTTTCTTTGGACTTTGCTCCTCCTGTGGAATTTTCCAAAACCCACCAAGCATTAAAATGTATTACTATTAGTTTACCTTACTCGGGAACATTATAGCGGGTTAATTTATGACTGGGAAAATTAATGACCGGGAAAATATGGCGGAATTTTCCAAAACCCACCACTCTATCCCAGTCATAATATTCCCGAATAAGGTAAGTTACTGGGCGAATCTCTATTCGAGCTGAGTGAATTACGACTTCCATCGCCCTGAAAAAGTGCGGATGCTCAATTGATGCTAGAACACGTGACCAGCAGTTACTGGGCTGTGCTCAGCCTGTCATTCCGCTGAATCTCTATTATATGTTTATGAACATAATAGCCTGAGGTCCCCAGGTAAGACCAGCAGTCACATAATCGTTTCAATTACGCCAGGCTATTTTTACTGGGCCGCGCTCAGCCTATCATTCCCGCCGAATCTCTATTTTTATGAATATGATAGCCTGCGCTCCTACTAAATCGCTCGCCCAAATTTTAAGAAAATTCTTGTGAAAGGCCCTTTGGGCATGAAAGTGGTCTAGATCGGTGTATTTTTGAACGCTGATTCTTGATTGACGATGTCAATCCGTCGAGACGCTACACTATAGTGAAGCGACCGTGGGGGTCACCACGTGATACAAGTTATGGTTAGGGCTAGGGTTGGGATTAGGGTTTATGTAAAACCGTTTTGTACGGCTGCAAAACCATAAAAACCAAAGTCACGTGAAATTTTTGGGCGAGCGAATTAGTAAAAGCCGATAGCCTGAGGTCCCCAGGTAGGGCTATTTTAATGAATATAATAGACTGGGGTCCCCAGGTAAACACCAGGTTAATCCATTAACAATAATACAACATGTTCAAAATATGGACTGTCGAGCCCATCTTGGTGCGCGTCTTGTTAGGCTATGTAAAGAGCTTGCTCTAACCAGAGCCCTCTCGCTTGCAGTACTACTTGTGAAACAAGCGCGTCACGCAGTACGCGTATACATATGGCTATGTGAAGTAAAGAGCCCATGTCGATCTATAGCTATCCCACCTTAAATAACCCGTTACTTTGATTACATAACTCAACCGCGTAGCCGTAACCCTAACCGTAACCGTAACCTCAACCGTAACCATAACCATAACCATAACCATAACCATAACCATAACCATAACCATAACTATAACCGTAACCGCAACTCTGACTCTAATGTCTAACATTAATTTGACCATTGTTAATGGTTTCGCCCGGCGCGTGCTACTTCGTAGCACTTGCCGTCGAGAAGAAAGCGGCGCGCGCTACTTCATACTTCGAAGAAATTTAGACGAGTAACATCCGTCAAACATTAATTGTCTTACTGGGCCGCGCTCAACCTGTCATTCCGCCTAATTTCTATTCGGTTTATGTTTAGAAACATGATAGCCTGATGTCCCCAGGTAAGCGCGGCGGGTCATACAACGTATGACAATGGCGAGATATTGGCGAAAACTGTCTCGATCACGTGATATGACCATATAAGGAAGTTGATCTAATTTCTCGTTAGGATTACTGTTAGGGTTTCAACATATGTTTTTGTTAAGGATTGGGTTAGGATTAGGGTTGGGATCAGATTAGAGGGTTAGGGTTTTAAATAGTTGTTCAGGGCCAGCTAGAGAACAGGCTGAAAAAGTCACGTGACAGTCGAGACTCGAATGTAAAGTAATTAATCATTATCCGCCGTAAAGCATTTTTAGCAACAATTTCTGCAAGGTAAATTTGTATTAATTACATTTTAAAACAACTTTTGGTTCAAAATTTATCAAAACCGGAAGAAAAAAGTTGGGGTCTGGACCGGACTCTACGGCGTAAAACGTTTTAATACGGCGTGAGACTCTACGGTGGGCTAGGGATAGGGTTAGGGTAAGGGTAAGGGTAAGGGTAAGGGTAAGTGTAAGGGTAAGGATAAGGGTTAGGGAATACTCAAATAGGGTTATAAATATAAGCTTGAGCCGGGAAGCGCGTCACGCAGTATATATATAGTACGTGTAGACACATGACTATGTGAAGGGTTAGGGTTAGGGTTAGAGTCTCACGCCGTAGAGTCCCGGACCTAAAAAATGTCTGTGCAAACTCACAGCGCTTATTTAATAGACTATAAAAAAAAGAATACAGGGTGGGCTTACCAGTACCCAAATAATATATATTTTATTAATGGTCACAGATATCAAAATATGTGCAGTCTGTGGTTGAAACTGTCACTGATAATAACTTTTCCGCACGTGTCCACGGATACTCCACACGGCTTGTCGAATTGTCCAGGTCCATTACCATGACTACCGTACCGCGAAACAAAGTCGTCCTGAGAGTCGAAAACCTGAGGCATATCGAGAAGTTACCCTTTTTTGGTCATTACTTTTAGTAATATTGAATATATATTGGTGTATATTACTATATATCTAATTCTAGTTAAAGCAAAATAGTGGACGATGATTAATCACTCTACACTCGACTGTCACGTGACTTTTTCAATTCTTGTTCTCTAGCTGGCCCTAGCTGGACGAGTATTCGAAACCCTGACCCTCTAATTTGATCCCAAACCTAACCCTAACCCTAACCCGAGAATTTTAACCTTATATTGAGATGGGGGATGATTCGGAATCAGCGTCCGAAAATACATCGATTCAAGTTGGTATCAACTATCAAGGCTTTGTGGAGTGATTTAGCACGCTTCACTTTGCCAAATTTTGGGTTCCAGTAAAAACTTACCTGGGGACCTCAGGCTATTATGTTCATAAATAGAGATTAGGCGTAATGACAGGCTGAGCGCGGCCCAGTAAGTAAAAACATGTAAAACAAAAAACTATGAAAATTTTCTAACTGACCTGAAAATAATGCTTTTCGTACTCGGTAATATAAACGTAGTCGTTATTATCAATAGCAATCGCTCGAGGAGCCTGAGAAAAAAAAGGCTTCAATTAGTTATACTAGGTAGTGTACCTCCTAGTGTACCTCCTAGTGCACCTCCTAGTGCACCTCCTAGTGTACCTCCTAGTGCACCTCCTAGTGTACCTCCTAGTGTACCTCCTAGTGCCCCTCCTGGTGCACCTCCTAGTGTACCTCCTAGTGTACCTCCTAGTGTACCTCCTAGTGCACCTCCTAGTGTACCTCCTAGTGTACCTCCTAGTGTACCTCCTAGTGTACCTCCTAGTGTACCTCCTAGTGTACCTCCTAGTGCACCTCCTAGTGTACCTCCTAGTGTACCTCCTAGTGTACCTCCTAGTGTACCTCCTAGTGCACCTCCTAGTGTACCTCCTAGTGTACCTCCTAGTTATACATCCATTTCATTTGTAATTGTTCGGTAAATAATTCATGATATGCGCGTATCATTACCATCTGAAGAACGGATTGCTGAATAACATGTGAGTACTAACTCGACCTACACTACTCCCATTAGTAGTGTATCCCTCCTACGCTACTCTCATTAGTAGTGTATCCCTCCTACACTACTCCCATTAGTAGTGTATCCCTCCTACACTACTCCCATTAGTAGTGTATCCCTCCTACACTACTCCCATTAGTAGTGTATCCCTCCTACACTACTCCCATTAGTAGTGTATCCCTCCTACGCTACTCCCATTAGTAGTGTATCCCTCCTACGCTACTCTCATTAGTAGTGTATCCCTCCTACACTACTCCCATTAGTAGTGTATCCCTCCTACACTACTCCCATTAGTAGTGTATCCTTCCTACACTACTCCCATTAGTAGTGTATCCCTCCTACACTACTCCCATTAGTAGTGTATCCCTCCTACGCTACTCCCATTAGTAGTGTATCCCTCCTACGCTACTCTCATTAGTAGTGTATCCCTCCTACACTACTCCCATTAGTAGTGTATCCCTCCTACACTACTCCCATTAGTAGTGTATCCCTCCTACACTACTCCCATTAGTAGTGTATCCCTCCTACGCTACTCTCATTAGTAGTGTATCCCTCCTACACTACTCCCATTAGTAGTGTATCCCTCCTACACTACTCCCATTAGTAGTGTATCCCTCCTACGCTACTCTCATTAGTAGTGTATCCCTCCTACACTACTCCCATTAGTAGTGTATCCCTCCTACACTACTCCCATTAGTAGTGTATCCCTCCTACACTACTCCCATTAGTAGTGTATCCCTCCTACGCTACTCTCATTAGTAGTGTATCCCTCCTACGCTACTCCCATTAGTAGTGTATCCCTCCTACGCTACTCTCATTAGTAGTGTATCCCTCCTACACTACTCCCATTAGTAGTGTATCCCTCC